AAGTCCCCGCGGTGGGACGGGTTGCTCTCGTCCCGCTCGTAGTTCTCCAGCCCCTGCCGAGGGGACGGTGAGGCCACCAGTGGCTGGGGGACAGAGGCAGGGAGGGACAGACGGACAGACGGGGACTTGCCTGTATCTTCTCCCTCAGCTCCTTGTTCTGCACGGTGAGGGACTGCACCTGCCCCTGCAGCGTGGCCAGCAGCTCCTCAGCCGAGGGGCTCAGAGTCTTCTTGGAGAGCAGCAGCTCTGCCCCTGCGGGGTGCAGGGACTCCGGTGCCATGCCCACCCATGCCCCTGCTCCCCGCCGTGGGGTGCCACCTCTCTGAGGGCTGCCCAGCCCCAGGAGGGACTTAGGAGGCGGGCAGGGCCCTACCTGGGAACTCAAGTGGGTCTCCCTCCTCATCCTGCAGCGTCTCGATGTCGTAGCTCGTGTTCTCCTTCTCTTTCTGGGGGTGCAGAGCGGCGGGCATCAGTCACTATGCCCCCCAGCCCCTGGAACTGCCATCTGCTACTCCACACCTACCTCCAGTGAGGACAAGCGGCTTCGCAGAGCCTCCACCTCCTTGCCCAGCCGCTCCTTCTCACCATCCCGTGCCGCCAGCCGCTTCTCCCGCTCCTGGATCTGCGGGGCAGGACACAGTCATGGAGTTCCCTTTGCTTCCACCAGAGTCCCAATGGAATCCCCAGCACCAGGACCCCTCAGAAAGCTGAGGCCACCCATGACTTCTTCACCAGCCTCACCTGCTTCTCCATGGAGCGCAGGGAGCCCTCATCCAGCTCTGCCCGCTAGCAGGACACAGAGAGAAAACAGAGAGGGATAAATGCTGTCCCCATCCCTCCTGTCCCCTCCGCTCCCTAGGGACACGGTGGCATCTCCTCCATCTCCTCCACGACCCTATTCCTCGCTGGTACCTCCCGTCTCTGCTTCTCCTGCTGCTCCAAGCCCCGAATCTTCTGCAAGAACTGGGCTCGCTCCTGCCGCAGCCGTACAATCTCCTCGTAGGCGTCCTGGTCCTCCTACAGATGAGCGGCCACCAAGCCTCAGTGCTGGGCACTGCCAGCCCCCTCCCCGCTGTCGGCCCCCTCCTGCCCATCCTCAGCAGGGGGCTGTGGCAGGTTCAGTGCAGCTCTCCAGGGGTGTACAGGGTGCTTTTTGACACCAGAGAGAGCAGCAAAGGTTCCGGCAGGGCAGGGACCCTCCCAGCGCCAGGAGAGCCCCCCAGGTGAAGGGGTGTTTTGGGCTCATGGGGTGGAGATAAAGGGGCTGATAGCCCCTGCTCTGCCAACAGCTCAGGGCCCGGGGTGCTGTGTGTACCCCAGGAGAGGGGATGAAGCCTCCGTTGCAGCTCAGGCCAGCCCGTGAGCAGCACCTCCACTGCGGGGGCGGGTGAAGCCCATGGAGCTAAGCAGGATCCCGCTCTCACCTGGCTGGGGGTGCCCAGGGGAGGCAGAGGGGCTTTCCTCTTCCGCGGGGTGCTGTTCTTCTCCCTGACGGATGACTGGCTGGGCGAAGATGTCTGCAGAGACAGCAGGGCAGAGGGGACATCACATCTAAAGTGGCCTCCCTCCTTCCTGACCCGTCACCCTGGGGCCAGAGGCTGGGGCCAGCCCTCACGAGAGGTGAGCAGCCCGGCAGCCCCTTACCTGGGATGTCTGCTCAGTTGACTCCTCTTCTGTGGGGCAGAGAGGGAGGAAAGAGAAATTGGGGAGGTTTAGGGGATTGTAGGAGTGGCCACAGCAGGCAGAGCCCGCGTGTGTGCAGGGGACCTCTGAATGTGCTCATACAGGGGTGGGCACTCAGGAGGCACGCACACACGTGTGTACACAGGGGGGCATGTGTGCACACAAGGAGCACATGCAGACAGACAAATATGGGGATATATGGGAGTGTGTAATTGCAGGGATGCACACACGTGTGCAGACACGGGGAGGCACATGCACACAGATGTGCACACACAGACACAAACACACTGGCTGACACACACGTGTGAACATGTGCGTGCAAGCACGTGCAAAACACCGAGATAAGCAATCGAGGCTCAGCACCACCTCCCGGCCCTCGGCTGGTGACAGCTTGGGCGAAGGCACCCCCAGCACGTGGGAAAGGGGGACATGTGCCCCCCAGCCTTGCTCAGCCTTCCAGCCATGGGCGAGACATCCCTGCCCAAAGCACCCTGCAGGGTGAAAACACCCCCGTGGGTCCATGCCCTGCACAGGAGGAGCACCAACACAGCACAGCTGCCTTACCGCTGGCCCAGGACCGGCGCTGAGCAGCCTCTTGCAGGAAGTGCTGGATGAGAGCGTTGCCCGTGGCCAGGCTGTAGTGCGCAGCGTCGTGACCTGTGGAGTCCACCACAGCCACCCGGGCACCAGCGTTGACGAGCACCTCCACCGTCTCCACGCTGCCGTTCTCGCAGGCCAGCATCAAGGCTGTCCTGAGCAGAGTGTTGAGCAGAGAGGTGAGGGGGGCCATTCCCTCCATCTACCCATCCACCCCCAGTCCCCACCAGTGTAGACTCACCTCCCCTGCAGGTCCCGGCTGTTGACAGCCGCGCCGCGGTGCAGCAGGTACCGGCACAGCTCCGAGTGGCTCATCTTGGCAGCAAGGATCAACGGTGTGGAGCCATCCTGGGCAAGGTCAGGTTGGGTGAGGCTGCGCAGACGAGGCTCACATACCCCCATGGGACACCCCATTCCCGTTATCTCCCAGATTTCCACGTCCCACTTCATGGTGTGTTTTCACCCCAGGAACCCCAGGTACAGCCAGCTGCTGCGTTCCACCCCAGAAGCTTCTGCATTTCAGAGACAGCCCCAGTCTGGCCCCTTGCTGCTCTGCACAGCATTGCAGAGGGATCTCACCTTGTCCTTGATGTTCAAGGGAGCCTTGAAATCACAGAGGATCTCCGAGCATGAGATGCAGCCGCTGACCGCTGGGGAGAAGGACAGAGGCTGAGCACTGTGCCTTCCACGGGGACACGAGCAGGACGGGGCTGGCACTGTCCCCACTCACCTGCATGGTGCAGCGCTGTTCGGCCACTGCCGTCAGCCACATCCACAGGGCAGGAGGCCTGAAGGAGAGAGCCTGTGTTATAGGACAGGGGACAGACAGACAGACTGCTCCAGTGGACGTGGCTCCTTGGCATGGTGGAGGGCCAAGCAGGTGCTGGGCAGCACCACAGAGTGCCGGGCTGAGCCGGGAACCACCATGCCAACCAAAACCACTGGTGAGGGAAGGGACTTCAAGGACAGAGAGGACACCTCGCTAGCAGAGCACCCTCCCTCCCTCGCAGCACCGTGCTCGCAGTCCCGGTACCTGCAGCAGCTTGCTGACGCACTGTGGGTGGCCATGCTTGCACGCCAGGTGCAGGGCAGTGTAACCTGGGGAGAGGGACAGACAGACAGGTCAGAGAACAGACGGTGGGTCTGCGGCAGAGGGGACCGGTTGGGTGACAGACAGATGGATGGGCACACAGGAGGATCTGCTGGACTGAAGAATGGGACACCCCCAGGAGCACCACTGGTCAGTGCTTGAATCCCCATAGGACAATTTACAGCCCCCACAGGTGTCACCTCTGTCCCCTCAGCCTCAACACCTGCCGGCAGAGTGAGAACAACCAGGTGGCCCCAGCTGGTCCATGGCGTTAGCCAGGGGCACGTGGCGGCCATGCCCTCACCCGAGCTATCCTTGGTCATGGCATCCACGCCGTGAGCCAGCATGGCTTCCAGGCAGTCCACATTCCCCCGCATGGCGGCCAGGTGGAACCTGCAGCAAGACCAGGGGCTGTCAGACTCGTATCCCTGACCCCCAGCCTTGTCCCCAGCCCTGCATCCCTGGTGTCCCGGGGACGTGGGTCAGCACTTACGCAGATTTGCCCTCTGAGTCCAGCTTAGTGGCGACCAGGCCCTTGCGGACGAGGAGAGACGTCACCTTCCCAGCATCGTTGTAGTCCACAGCTTGCAGGAGCTTCTCATCATTCTTGGTCCAGTCCTGGCTCTGCAATGAAGGCAAGAGGCGGCTCTGAGGGGTGTGCGGTCCCTGGGGACAGGCAGGGTGCTGGGCTGGACCCGGGTGCCTGTCCTCATCCCCATCCCTGCTCTCTTCCACCCATCCCTATCCCTTGGGGTTGCCATCTCTGGGCCAGCCCCTTTCCTGGGTGCTGTGGTGTCCGGGCCCCAGGTATGGAGGGTTTAGCTGGGACAGCTGACTGGGGTGAGGATCCCCTTCAGCTCCCCCTACCCCAGTTTGCAGGAGATTTACAGAGCTGCCCCAGTTTAGCTGTGGATGGGTCAGGCTGTGACCGGCTAGGATTTGGGAGCGAGCCGACACTGCCTGCTTATCCCTGCCCCAGGTTTTGCCCCTGCCATCCCAGTGACCCCAACGCTAAACACAGCCAGCACCCAGGAGGTGCCTGAGCCCCATCCCTGCCCAGGTCTCCCCACTGAGCCCATTCCCAGCCCTGCTTTGCTCCCCACCAAGGAAGAAACAAAGTCGGGGTGAGCACAGTTGGCAGCGAGAGCAGTTCCCCTGGGATGGCTTCAGCCTCCCTGGGATATATGGGGCTGTCCCGGTTTGATCCCCCACGCAGGACTGGGGCTGGATGGGGGGCTTGCTGACCCGAAGGAGCAACCCACAACAGAACAGGACCAGTATGGGATGCCCTGGGTTCACCCTGCAGCCCGTGACAACAAACCGGAGGTCGCTGCGGCCGCGGTGGCAGGAAATGGATGTCACCTTTCAGGAGCTGCTTGCATCCTGCCCTTCGCCAGCCTGGTGCCCGGTGCCAGGCATGGGACCTGTGCCACTGTGCCCACTTGGTGCTCCTGCAAACCCTTACAGCCCTGCGGGGCCAGGGGACCCCCTCCGGGGGCAGGGAATAAACCAGTCTCCCAGGGTTACTGGGCAAACTGGGAGGGTGGTGCCTGCTCCCCCCCCACACCCTTGTCATGCAAGGACAAAGCAGGTTGAAGAGGACACAGCCGAGCCCCGGGATGGGGATGGGGATGGGGATGGGGATGGGGAGGGCCCGGGTGGGGTGGGGGTGATACGGCTTACCCCTGAGGATGGGACCAAAGGGGACCGGAGACGGAGGACAGGGACGTACCGCGAAGGAGGCAGCGGCACAGAGGCAGATCTGCTTCATGGTGTTGAGGAGGAGGCGGCGGGCAGCCATGCACCCCTTGCCCCCCGCCTGGGCGAGGGCAGGCTGGGGCTCCAGGCCGTGGACCCCAGACCCCAGCTCGGTCCAGCATCGCTGCCAGGGCGGGGGCCGGCTCCTGCCGCAGTGGGAGCCAGGATCCGCCTCCCTCCATCCCTCCGTCCCTCCTTCTTTCCCTCCTTCCCTCCCTCCTCAGCATCCAGAGCTCCAGGCATCCCCGCATCCCTGCCACGGAGCAGGTACCAGGGTCCCAGCCAGGGACCAGCACCCAGGCTGGTCCCAGTTAAAGTGGGAGGGGTTGGGGAGGTGGGGGGCAGGTTTCCCACTCCATGCTCAAGGTGAGGCAGTGCACCCCAAATCAAGCAGATGAGCATCCTCCTGCCACCCAGATCCTGCACCCTGAGGAGGGGGACGTGGGACTCCCTACCCTACCCTGGGGGGCACAGACTTACCTCCCACCACAGCCCTGGGGCCAAAGGAGGGGCAAGACCTTCTGCCTGCATCCCAGGGGCTTGGCAAACTCCCCTCAAGGAGGGAACCCCAAAATGCAAAGGGTCCCTGGAAGAGCCCCAGGGGCAGCAGGACCCTCTTACCCCTCCCCACTCACAGAAGTATTCAGGGCAGTGTGGGGAAACTGAGGCACAGAGCACCCCGAGCAGGGCAGGCCCGCAGACTCCGTGGGGGGGGTTCAACCTGGGTCCATGTGTCCCCCAGTGCACACATCTGCCCAGTGCTGCCATGGGCACTGGGGACAGCACTGTCACCCTCTGCCCGGTGTGGAGGATGGAGAGAGCCTGTGGCACTGTGCCAGGCTGGTGCTGAATAATTGAGGAGCATCGACATTCTGGTTCCACTGGCTGTGGCAGCCGGAAAGCTGGCAGTCATCCCCAGGGAGGGGACCTGGGACCCCCTTCCCTCTCCCCGTTCTTGCCTTTTTTTTCTTTGCTCTGCCCTGCTGCCAGCGACAGCCCTGGGAGCACCCTTGGGTGCATTGGGAGCTCGATCCCACTGGCCAGGGTGGCGGAGCTGACCTCCATGGGGCTGCTGTCCCCAAGGTGAGCAGGCTGCCCATGTCCCAGGGCAGGTTGCCATGTCCCTGTGACACTGGGGACACCCTGGGAGAGATCCCCATGTCCTCACATCCCTGTGAAACTTGTGACAGCCCAGGGCAGGTCCCTGTGTCCCCGCGGACATCCCGGCACAGGTCCCCATGAAACTTGGGTCATCCCAGGGCAAGTCCCCACGTCCCCGTGTACATCCCAGGGCAGGTCCCCGTGTCCCTGGGAATGGCACTCACGTCTGCCTTCTTGAACTTGGCCTTCAGGCTCTTCATGGTGGCTCCAGCCTCAGCCCCGTGACACCTGGACGAGGGACAGACGTGCTCGAGGGTCTCTCCCCCACCGATATCAGCTCAGACGTCTTCAGACCCGACGCCAGGGAGTTGGGTTACGGCACGGCTGCGGTTACAGCTGGCAGTGCTGGGCAGCCGGGGGGGCTGCGGGGGGACCAGCCCTGTCTGGGGAGGGGGTCTGTGTGCACCCCTGAAATGCCCAGGGACAGGGAGACGAGGGGACATGGCCCGGCAGGGGCAGGGCCGGGGGGGAAGC